TATGTTATTGATTTTTTTTACGTGTGCCTGTGTTGCTTTAATAGGCGCTTTAAAAATGTGTATTATTATTATTATAAAAATGTTGACGGACATAAAAGTAGGCCTACTCTATTGCATGACTTAGGTCTAGTTTATCCATCCATGGGATCATTTGCAGTCACCCGACTTTACAGGGCGTAGGCTGGCTTAAGAGAAGTGTGGGGGCGGGAGGGGATTTCGAAAATTTGAATGCTGAACTAAATCCGTATCAATTTCATTTTTTTCCATTAGTATGTTAACCCACTTAGTGGAAATAATTTGTCGTGGGGGAGTAGGGTCGTCCGTACCTCCCTGTACATATCAGCCTACGCCTATGCCCTAACAAAATACGAAGTTATACTAAAAAGTTAACTACTGTAATATGCAATTAGAATATTTGCGTAGGCCTACACACTCGGTGGAAAATAGTATACAAAAGAAAACAGTCTGTCATCTCAAGTTTTTTCACCTGAAAATCAATGTGCTTTTAGGCGAGCACACTACCGTTAACTATTTGTTTACGGTGTATACGTGCAAACCTAATTTAAACCTAATTTATGGGTTTACAACTAGTGAGAAAAGAACAGTCAAGGCTTAATTATGATAAGTTTTGTGGTAAAAATAAATGTCTTGTCGGATTCAGGCCTACTAACGTCAATAAAATATATAAAAATGATAAATATATATAGCTAGCCGTACGTAGTTATAATCTAAATTTACGTAATTTACTTTAATTGATGGCGTCATATATTGTATTCCTGGCATCTAAAAAGTATAATCATCGCCCATCAATCCATCGATGACGCAAGTAAGTATGCTTAGTATCCGAAAGAGGGCGCTTTCATACTATGATATACTTTCTTTTCTTTTGTATTGTGGTATCGTACAGGAAGTTCTAGCCTAGGCTAAACAATAAGAATACTATTAATATACAGTACCTCCTTTGTCAAAGTTGAGCCTGTTGACTTCTACGTTGAATACAGTTTTATCACTTTTTAAATGCAAGAAAATAACGTGTTCGAAGAAGAGAGGTTCGGAGATCATGGACAGAATTGGGAGACATGGAGAGATCCCGAGAATTGGCAACGACGGGAGGACAACGGAGTGGGCGATACCTGCATGGAATCGCGATCTGCTGTTTTCGACGATGGAGGACCGATGTTCAGTGAATCATCAGTGGACATTGACTATTATGACTTACCTACATCAATTGTTGCTACTAATATAGATGATGATATATTCAGAGATAATTTCTCAAAGGTCTGTACACGCCCCTCCCTGAAACCCATCGTACAAACAAAACTCAAGCCAAGCAAGGGCTAGGCCTAGGCTAAGCTGAGGCTTAGATTAGTTAGAAAAAGAGCCTCGATTCATCATAGGATGGGTAACTTGGACTTGCCTAACCTATTGAAATGTACAGTACAACCAACCTACATTTACATAAACATAAATATATGCTTATAAGTAAGCCTAGCTAGATCGTTGACAGCTGTAAACCCAGGATAGTTGTTTACTACTAATTAATAATAATATTGTATAGTATGATTTCTTTTTTGTAATACTGTAATAATATTAAAATACGATTAAAAAAAAAATTTTTTTTTGCTTATTGATTAAAAATAATTATTACATTTTAGTATGTTTCTTTTCGCAGAAAGTGTTTGAGAGCATGTGCTGTGCATTTGGTGAAAATGTAACATTTCAATATTTTCCAAGTTTTAGAAGAGTACGAATAAATTATGAAACACCTGAGCAGGTGGTACAAGCACAATTGGCACTTCATAAAAAGGAAATAAATGGAAAAGTAATCACATCATATTTCATCCAGGTAAACGATACATCCTTGTTCTGCGTGGATTTTTATACAGAAGAACCCCTTCTTTGAGGTACACCTATTATTAAGGTGACACTTTCGGCCACAATGAGATTCTATGAAGGTGTATTTTTTAGCACTATTCAGGAGACAGCTCGTTTAAGGAGGCACTTTTTTAGATCTTGAAGGTGTCCCCTTAATAGGGGTTCTTTGTATTAAATACTATATTAATTATTGGGGTTTTTTAATATTTGTTTTGTATTATATTTGATTTTTTAAAAGTGTATATAAAATTTGTTATAATTTTGACATTTTTCGTAATATTAAGAATTGTTGATGTTCACAATAGATGGAATGTGGACTTACTTTCTGCTTTCTTTTTTGGCAGCCTCCTAGGTCAGTACGGGTCAATCCAACCCTTCAACCACCCAAAGCAACAAAGCAGTTTCTAATTTCACCTCCAGCCTCACCTCCGGTAGGCTGGGAACCAGTCTCAGAAGCAGAACCAGTTGTAAACTATAACATTCTAGCAGCCATGGCAAACCTTGCTCCAGGTAAAATATAAAGCTCTGTTCAGACTGATGCAGAATTTGGCAGCAGGGGATGCGTGACAGTCGACACCATCTCAGCCCCACCATGGTTGGGGCTAAAGTGAGAAAATTCTGAGAATATGGACATCTAGGTGCCCTGGAAATTGCACTTTCATACCTTAAAAAGGCCTATGTTCGTATCAACAATACGATACAATACAAGAATTTTATACAATTTAGGGCGATGTGATCGCACAGTCTGCACCCCTTGCATCTGCCCCAGAGACTTTTATTTGACAAGAACATGCTATAAATATGGTCATGATGACATCACATCATGACCATATATAGGCAATTTTATCGTCAAAGAAAATTTGATATGAACAGATTTTTTTTTAATTCAATAAATCGAGGGTGAAACCAGAATATTAAAAATATGGAGAACAGGTTGCAGATAAAACAAAATGAAAAAAAATGGCTTTTGAATTTTTTGTTTTGTTTTTGGTAGTGAATATGTTCTGAAATATCTTATTTCATACTGGTCCAAAATTACCATTTCCCTGGGTGACTGGTGTCTTTGCATAAAGACCCCGCCATAGCATCCCTTATCAGATAACTTTACCCCATGTAAATGCATCTGCCACCACTGGATGGTGGATGCATTTTTAAAGCCTGGGCAGATTGCTATAAAACGGTCTTTACTGGTAGTCTTTAACTTAGCTAAAAAGTCATTCCGCTAAGACCATTGCTATAAAAGTCTTCGCTGAGACTGCTTTGACGCACACAAATGTATCAAAATGAACGTAAATAAACATAGACCTATTTTTACAGATGCTGAGAAGCATGGGGAATATTCATCGTTCGATTCTCTGTCTTTGATAATTTAGGCCTAGGTCTTAGTACCTGTAACGCCATGATGAAAAAGATTTAAGACCGTTTTAAGCCTCCTCCGACTAGGCATTACAATTTAAGATGGCTAACTGGTTAGACTGCAGTATAGGAATGGTCTATATTCATAGACCAGTAGCGACGTCACGATTATAGCCGGCTAAGCGTTAAGACCGTCTAAAGACCGCTTATAGCAATCCGCCTCAGGTGTCCAGGCAGCCAAGCCACCACTGAGCTATCTTGCAGATGGGCAGTTATCTTCAAATTGAATGCTATATTGAAAGTACCATAGGATTCACTGAAATGTGTTTTCAAAAAGATTATTAAATATTTGTTTTATTCCTAAATTTTCAGGTCAGGAACATGAATTACATGCAGGTGATGGAAACATCCCTAGTATAGTAGTACTGCCGTGTGAAGATCCACCACCAAAACAAGTCAAGGCAAAAATAGAACAAACAAAATGTCCCCCAAGAAGATGAAGCACATGAAAATCTAATGAAGTGTTAAATTCAGAAGAAGCAAAGAAACTCGAGAAAAAGTTCAGGTTTTCATTGGTGGATGCAAGTGGAAAGTATTTCTCTTTGAACTTTTTTCTGGCATTACAAGTATTGAGGTTATGGATGTTACCTTCTTAAGCAGCAGTACAATTAGAAGAGCTAAAATTGTGTTTCAGGCGGAAACCATTGTATTTTTTATCAGTTTTCGGTTGCAGGATTATTTTGAAGATAGGCCTACAGACTTTTACCCAATAATCAATAATATGGATTCTCTTGCCGTATATTCAGTAGAACAATTTTTGTCATAAACTGATCATTTGCATAACTTGATGTCTCTATTAACACAACATATCGTTGCTCACATCACGAACTAACACAATCAAAGTAGATTGTGTTAGTTCGTGAAATCACAGTAGCGCGTCAAAACGAGTGCGTATTGGTTGTCAAGCAATTTTGTGTTCTTTACCACACAAAAAGTCCTTAACGACAACAGCTCGTATTTTGACGCGCTTTTTTGATTTCGCGAACTAACACAATTGAATTTATTTGTGTTAGTTCGTGATGTGAGCGACGATATGTAGAGTTTGTATATATTTTTTTGTTTTATTATATTAGGAATTATAAAATATATAATGTATAAATTAATACATAGTACTAATAATAATAATTATATTGAAACAACATAAAATCTAAATATGTACAGTATACTATCTGTCGTGAGCTAAAAAAAAGTTCAAATCCATATTTGACTTGCTTAAAAGAATACCAACTTGCTAAAAATTTGAACAAGAAACAAATTTTCCCCACCAATTAACGAACAATTTTTTGTTTTTGTTAATAACTTACTTGATCGTTTAAAATGAGCTACAGTATTCAAACTTTTATTAGAATAACTGTGGTTTCTCCAATTTTTTTTTTTTTCGGCAAGTATAGTACATCTGTAATAAACAGTTGAACACTTGTATGTTACGTTTTTTTATCAAGGAAGCTCCATTGGACAATGATGACTGGTTGCTGTTAAACACTCGTCATGTAAATCTTGTTGAACTCGCTTGTAATATTAAATAATGATGAAGTAATAATCAGTGATAAAAAGAAATCAGACAGTTATGCTTCCCTCCCAATCGAAATCAAAGCTAGTATTTTGATTTTTTTTTTACCCCTTGGGTGTTGGACTTTCTCAACCGGCAGAACAGAACTTTCCTGGTGCCTAGAACAAATGAGCAATTTTAAGCTGTTCTGATTTCAATCACAATCAGAGCTAGTATTTCGAAATTTTTTGACCCCTTAGGTCTTAACCGGGGGAACAGGATCTTCCTGATGCCTAGATAAACCGAGCAATTTTAAGCTGTTCTGAAAGTTTAAAACAGATTTTTCCCAAATATATAGTTGTTTGGTCAATGGTGAATTTTAATACAGGTAGCACACATTTCGTAACCCTGACTTTTCAAAATAATTTGGGAAGAGACACCCTGGGAGGTGGTGGTTGCATATCAGGTATATTATCAGATTTTTTTGTGAAAAGCACTATATAAAGGCATAACTTTCTTTGATTGTTAGTTTATAAAGTGGTAAAAACTCTAGTATTCTGTCATGTATCATTCAATTTCTATTCTGTTTTCCAGATTAGATGGATCAGTCATCATTAAAGGTGACATTTAGTATATTAAAATCTGTATTTGGTGTGTGTTAAAGACAGAGGGTCAGAATGTGTATATAGAAATAGCATAAAGAGTTCCAATGATCTACACCAATCATTTGTAAAAATTTTGAACTTTAACAACAATAGAATTTATAGTACTCTAATAATATCAATAATGTTAAGAAAATTTTGAATTTTGGTGTGTGTGGGCACCGCCCTCAGGACATGGACGTTCCTACCACGGATTGATGATTGGTGATTTTTTTCGTTTCTGAAACATACTATACTATTCTTAAATACTAACATTTTAAAAACATTTTAGAGGACCATGCCTACCCATTTCTAGCGATGCAAGTACTGTAATTTTGGTTTCTGAAGAAAAAACTGCTATGACTAATCGATTTTGAGGTAATCAAGAGTAAGGGTTGTCACATGTATCTAATTATTTTTCTAATCACGATTGGATTATGGCAATACATAATTGAAATGAAGATACGACTATACCAATCAACAATGGGTGTGTCTTCAGCATTAACCTTTTATTATGGGCGAAATGGAACAATTTAGCATGGAGTCTAGTTATATTTTTAAAGTTAGTGAAAACAAAGAAGTTGTATTTATCGGATGGATTGTTTGTTGTGCAATAAATGAACATGGTTTAGACAAAGAAAATATAACCTTTGGGTGTTGCATTACTCTACCTACTAAATGTTCACCAACAATGAAATCAAAAGGGGAGGGGGTAAGGGTGGGCAGGCAATTTAAATTCAGCTAAAAACAATGCCGGTACTAAGGGGGGTGTGGCCCTTCTAGTACTTGGTCGCCTCCGCCCTCCTCCGATCAGGAGGCTAGCTACGGGGCTTCTATCCCCCACTTTATGATGGCCATGATCAACTTTCAAACTCGTTGGAGAATTGCTTATTGGGAACATAAGGAAAGGCCAAGTAACATAAAAGAAAGCAACATCTTTCTTTATGTAAAAGATGGACACCTACATACCTAAACCTAACTTTAGTCAAATCATATGTTATGTTTACTATACAGTATGCTGTTCAGATTTTGTTTTAATGTGTTTAAAACAGCTTCAAATTGGTCAAAAAAATTTTAAAAGCAAACGACAGTTTCTTTGAAATAAATAAATTTATTTATTTATTTCTTTGAAATAAATAAATAAATTGAATTGGAGGGCGGACTGTAATTTTTAATTCAAAGGGAATAGAAGGTTGCTTGAAGGGGGATTAAAGAAGCCTTTTATTTTACAGAATGTAGATCCAGGCAACCTCAGCCCACTGGTTCCACTCAAGTACAAAATGTTATGGCTATGGCACCCTATAGATTACCAAAAAAGACAATCTAATTTATTTATAATTTTTTTTCTCATTTTTTGCTAATTTAAGAAAATATAAGGGTGGGGATGGCAGGCTAGGGCCCTGTTAATTCTCTTGTGTAACCCAAGACAGAAATGGCCCCATGGTTTGAACCCCTGTCAGACTTGATGGATCACTTGTCAGTAATGTCTGGGGCTACCACTGTGCAAGCATCAGGTAAACAAACTGCAACTTGCATTGTCAGATAGTGTGATGAGTGAAGAAGCTGTTCTTTTACTCTATGGTATGCTACTGTACTTACATTACATCCAGGTGGTATGTTATTCAAACCCATTTTCAACGAGGCTGACCCACCTAAAAAAATCTAATACCATCACCACCACAGTTTTCAAAAATGTTCGAGCAAAGCCTGCTTTTTGGTTGTAAACAAAATGTCAGTATATCTAGCTGATGAAGTAGAGCTGTGACTTGATGGTAAAGATGCTTCCCTTAAAATCTCAGGGTTATGGGTTCAATCGCTGGAACGTCATCAGGTTTGGGGAGCGGTTTTGATTTATGCAGATTAAATTTACAACACTGACTGGGGCGGATGCAGGATTTGGAGGTAGACACCACCTCACCCCCACTACGGTTGGGACTGAGATTTGAAAATTTTGAGAATATAGCCCTCGAGGTACCTGGAAATTGCACTCTCATACTTTAAAAATCTTTACCAGTACCATGTTCATAATTATGGAAATAATATTTTAAAAATACAATTTTTTATACAACTTAGGGGGGTGTGCTTGCACCATCTGCATCTGCCCCAGCTTGAGATTGGAAGACAAGCATCGCAACCACCAAACCAGAGCTCAAACTTGAAAACAACTTTTAACTACAGTACCAAATTCTGTTAAATCACTACAGAATAAAAATATACCATCACTGACAGCCGTTTTTATTTTGTGTTTAAAATCATATGTATGTGCATTAACCACCATACAAAACGATATTCAAAAATCATAAAAACACAATAATTAAATTTCATGATAGAAGATAAAGAACACTTGCGTCAGTCGAACAATCAGCAGGTTTTCCTTCCTGATATATCTTATTCCAAATTATTAGGTGAAAAAAAACATACAAAAGAATGTAAAGTTTTATTTCTAATTAAGAAATATTAATTAAAAAGGTATGCTTTTTGACAGTTTTGGCTGGAACATAAAAGACAGTACAGTACGCATCTCTTTCTATTTTTTACCATGGAAATAAATGCTATAAAGTATTTGTAAAGTTCATATATCCAATAATAATATTACTATACTGTATATCCGCACGCAAAATGTCAATATAATTTTGAAAAATTTTGTAGGGACCCGGGCTCCTGCCTTTGAATCCGCCATTAGTCTCTTTTACCCAGCAGTATAAACAGGTACCTGTTACAATGATGTGGCACTGAATTGTCAGTCTATGTGCATGACTAGGTATATTCACCAAGGAGTAGAGATGGTTGGTGATTGACAATAGATCCAATGACAACATTGGTAGTGTCTTGTATTCCTTTTCTAAAGGTGTTGAATAAATTCTTGTATTATTATATTTACCGGTAAATAAAAATGGCAAAAACAGTAGAAACATGATATTTAATTCAATAATTCGGAAGTGCTGGCAGCTTAAAACTGTCGCAAAGTATGTTTTTCTTATATTTGTTTTGCATGGAAGGGCACTGGAGGCCTAGTCAGGATATAAATTAGCTTTAATGTTAGTGAGCGCTCGGATGACTAAAATCATATCTCGGACATTTGAGTTGTTAATTTTGCAATAAAATTTGCTACGTAGGAAACAAAAATATTTGTGCGGATATACGGTATATTTGCAAAATAATGTACTGTACTGCACTTTGCATTAAAAGTTTTTAAAATTTCCAAAAAATAAAAGGGACCAAACAATATCCTAGAACTAACCAAGACAACCAAACCATGACCAGAGGTTTGAAGCCAAGCACTCACTGCTGACGACGGCTAACATGATGGAGAATGCAACGCCACAGCACGTTCTACTGATCATTTTTAATGACAATCCATTCCAACTGTCACCAACGATCAACAGATGTCGGGTCGTCTTAGCGCTCACAGAGAGATTCATCGGCCGATGCTGCGAGTGCCTGGCCTAAAGCCGGGTACCCACTACACGTAACGGCGACGCAACAACGGACGCACGAGACGGCGTGGAGCCAACGGATCGCTTTTTTAAATAAGGATCCGTTCAGACTGCCAATGACAATCAGTAGACGGCGTTACGTAGTCTATCGCTCGCCGGAAGCAGAGGTGGATTCGTCGTGCAATGCAGCGAGTACCCGGCTTTAGATGCAAGAGTGGTTATCTCATAATTCACTGTACTCTATGTAGCAACTGGGTAGAAATAAATCAATAAGCAATTATTAATTTAGAAGTCACCACTTGCAACAAATACACCAGCGTCTACAATTCCTCTACTTGAGTGGAATTACTTGCAAATAAAATTCCGATTGTATACTAAGTTGGATATAAATGAGCGGGGAAGTCTGTACCTTATAAAAGAAATATTATTAAAGAACCTGTAACGTTGACTTGTTCTAAATCTAATTCAAAATGTAAATGGTGTTGTCTTTCGTGAGTTAGTAATTCAGAGCTTTTGCACTTAGTTTCAGCACAATATCTCAAACCGTTCTATCCCAAACAAATTCTATTTTTTAATGTTCAACAAAGCCATATCAGTCTGTCCAAAAAATTAGGGTTATAGATATGTAATTATTGTTCACTTCGGATGGCCCAAAGCATCGCAGTCTTTTTAACATTTCAACAAAAAAAGTAGAAAAAGATCAGTTTTAAAAACATCTGAGTACAATCATCACAGGAAGAAGTACAGTAAAAACTACTTTGGATATATACACAATTACGGATTCTTTAAGTAATCTAATATATCTCACATTCTAAACACATAACAATTGTGATGTACTCCGCAAGCCAAAAGCTGACGGAAATTTCTTTAGTCTGTTTCTATACATTCGTCTTCCCTTTCATCAGAAAGTTTATGAAGACCGTTGTGTTCAAGATTGACTGTGGTTTTTGTTGTGGACAGTTCTACTGAGCCTCCACCGTCATCACTAGAGTAACAGTCAACTAGTGAGATTTTGGCAGAGTCTAAGGGAATAGCAGAGTGCTGTATTAAAGCCCTGCCGTTTACAGGTGAGTCTGTCCTCAATTCTTTCATATCATCCTCATCCACATCATTGGGTAAGGATTTCTGTATGGGGTCCACAGTCAAAATATTGTTAGGTTTATAAGTTGATTCTATTTTACAGACAAGAAGTTGGTCAGTGTCTGTGTGTTTCCTGTTATTTTGTTCTGTATCACTCAACTCGCCATAAGTTGGCGTTTCATTACCTGTGTCATCATCATTATCATCGTTGACATTATTTCTGACATCAATTAGTGAGTCAGTTCTAAATTTTTCAACACCATCTTGCACCTGTTCATCAGGTTCTTGATCTTCATCAGCTGTTTTACTGTCTTCACCTGGACTTTCATCAACATATTCTATCTTCAATTTCTTTCCTTCATTGATTCTCAAAATTTCCTCGTCATCGCCTTCCCATCCGTACTTTTCTTGAACCTCTTCTTGGTTTTCAATCTTGAAAAACTGCTCCCTGTCAAATTCTGAGTCTTGGTTCTCATCAGGGTTATTTTCCTGGACACCTGCAGACATTTTCTTGTCCACCGTGTCTCCAGGCCTGGCAGTATTGGGGTATTCAGTAGAGCGTGTAGTCCTATAGCTTTCATCTTGCCCCTCAGTTCCCTCAAGTTCTACACTTAGATTTGATGTAAACGTACTAACTGTGAATGGTCCTGAATCCGTTCTTATGGGGGCATTGTATTTTTCTGCCGATATTGCAGCTGTGTTTAATGAGTAAGCATCATCTCTGTATGTTTGTTGGTGGTCAGAGGGGGCAGTATTCGCCATGTTGTGTCCATTAGAGTTAACTGGTGTCTCTAGAGTACACTGGCTTTTGTACTTGGCCAGTTCTGCTTTGCAGTCTTTTAGTTGTTGCTGTAGAGTGCATATTGTACTCTGCATACCTTCTACCTCTTCATCTAATTCAATCACAAAATCATTCATTTCTGTTTAAAAAAAGAAAAAGTACATTTTGGTTATTTTTCCAAAATTTACATCACTTTTAATAGCAAGTACTCTCTCCATAAAAATGAAAGAAAAAAAATGTGACTCTACTAAATCATATTTATGTAGTTTACAAAAATAATACTTAACTAAATCTAATTTATTTCTTTCTCAATTATTATTCAGTATATTATTACATTTATAGGTTTGGGTAAATCAGATTTTTATAAATATTTTGTTTGTGACAATAAAAACCACTATTTTGTTCTCATGGTCACTTTTTTTGTGACATGACATACATCCAACTTAGAATTTTAAATATAGCAACTGTAGCTTTCGATGCTGCAATTGGTTAAACCAACCTAAGCTGTTGGTTTAGACGATGATGACGATCAATACGATGACTAATACACTATAAGTCGGCAGAAATTTATCTAGCTGAGACCAAAATAACCATACTTTTAAAATCTTTCTTTTTTAAATCACTCTTTTGTGTGCATGCATCCAATGCTACACAAGTTTGTACAGCTTTTGGTAGCACAAATAGACCACAATCTCGAAAGAAAAGTTTATAGGCTGCCGAGTTCCATACAAATTTTAGATTTATTAAATTATGTTTGTCTCATGTGCATTATCATTCGTAACACGCCAACTTACTACTGCAATGAAGCTGCTAACTGTTAGTATGAATGAACGCAATTTTAAATACTGGGAAATAAGATTTTGATAAACTTTTAAAAACTCATAAAACTGTATTATTTGGAAGATAAGCCTCACATTTGGTTTTGATATTAGCCAGCTAGATGCAGTATCAGGACCATAAAAAACATAAAAAAGTAGGAATTCCAACCAGGAAACAGGGGGGTTGTCTTATACGCCAGACATACAAAAATCATCCAAAAAATCTTCTCAAACTTTGGGGTCGTCTTATATGCGAGTGTATAGGTAATAATGATAATAATAGAGTAAATGTAAAAACAATATTGTATGTTTTTTTCTTTCATCTCATTTGTCTTCTCTCGATTCATTCACTTACCGTCTTGGCTTGTTTTAAGCTCTTCGCTGTACTTTTTTTGCAATGCTAGCTCAGCCTCTAGTTGAGCAGTTTTCCCTGATGAAATCTGTTTGCCAAGATCCTGATTTTCCTGCAGTAGCGTGCGACACTTCAACATCAAGCGTTTACCGGTTTGACTACACAAGTTGGAAAACAAATAATTTTCTTATTGAGCATAGTAATGAAAGACTACCAGACAAACTTATTATAGCAACAATTAATACATACAAATCTCCACAAAAATAAGTTCATATTTTATAAAAGTTAATTATAGCCATTGAAACACAACCAAAGTTGCTTTGAATAATAATCATCTTCATTATTATTTAAAGCTAAAAATATTGGATTGCGATATAAATTGTGGTTCTACAAAAAAAAAATAAATAAAAAATAATACTGTCTAAATGTCTTATCCATGATAAATAGAATGCCAACCGCGAGATTAATAAAAAGCCTTGACTTTCAATATTTAGGTCAGTTGAGCTTGGACAAGACAAATCTTCTTGGGCCTAATTAAAATCAGAAGAAAATACTACTGTATGTATGAAGATTTTATTGTGTTTACAGTGAGTAAATACAATAATAATGATGTCAATAATAACAATATGTTTAGTATTAGAAAAGTTTAACAATATGTTTAGTATTAGAAAAGTTGTGTTTCCCTGGATACAAACTACCAACAATTTAGAATGTTTCATTATATAAAAATTATCATAATTTCCACATGACCTAAGGTCTGTCCAGACTATCAAATTTTCTTTGACAAAAAAAAACTGCCGTATGCCCATATATAGTCAAGATGTGCCTATATATGGTCATAATGTGCTGCCATCATGACCATATTAGGCATCAAACAATGTAAACTGGGGTTAAAATTGTCAGTTACCTATCTGGAGTGAATTTCCAAGCAGCCATGTCATCGTTTGCCTGCTGCAGTTTGGTTTTGCTGTCTTCCGTCTCTTTTCTCATTCTTTGAAAGAGAAGGTTGATAGCTGGGTCTAGTAGTGAATTCTGCAGTTGAGTGGTACTTGGGTTCTGTGCCTTGCTCAAGTCAGACTGCAAAAAGTAAACAAATTGAAGTAATAAAACCTCAAGAAATTAATGAATGAAATAGACATACACTAATGTTTCTTTCTCCAGGTTAATTAAATTAGGCTTCCTGAAATTGGAGTGTCATCAAATTCCCTAACCTTTTACAAGACCAATATACCTTTTAAGTAAAATAATGTAATAACAATTATAATAATTACTTACTAATTCTTGAACTTCCTGCTCTTTGGTTGTCAGTCTCATTACCAACACCTTCTCTTTCCGTGAACTTTCCAGCTGATGTTGCTTCCACTTCTCCTCCAATGAACTCATGTCTCCTGGACGAAAAAATGAACTTTAGTATTAGTAAAACCAAGAATTTGAATTATCATATGAGGCTTCAAATCCCAAAACCAGCATACTGTCACTAAAATGAGAAAAACTCGGCAATTTATTAGCATAAAAATGTGGTAGTATTGTATACTTTAGTACAGACAAGCCGCAATACTTTTTAAAACTTATAATGTGGAGAATATGAATATATTAAAATGTCAATTTTATAGTTCTGGCCCAGGAATTATTAATCTCAGATTAGCAAATGTCTCAAGTCAAAAAAGTTAAGATGTCCCAAATAAATATCTTAAGGTGATTTATTACTCAATCTTAGCAAAGTCTTGGCTTAAATATCATCTTAGATAGCGCCAACGTACAATCGACTTTCTAATATTAAGCAATTTTTAAGCTAAGCAATATGGATAAATTTGACTTAAGCAAAAAAAATGGGCTTAAGACGAATTTAAGCTGATTTCTAGTTTGATATAATGTATATTTTCATAAAACTAACCTCCACAATAGGCCTCAGTCTGCTTTTTCTCAAGTTCATTTGTGTACATCTCTAATTCCATCCATTTTGCTATCATATCTTCTTTAGATAGCAATGTCATCTCTTCATTGCTAAGACGCACCTGAGTAAATATGATTAGAGAAACCAAATCAAGCTTTGGATCTATAGTAATTATACTTCAAGTTTTTAGGCACAAGTGCAAAGGTCATGACAGTAGAACAAACTCTTTTTCTTTAGAATTCCAAACCAGTTGAAAATGATGTAAGAGATGTAAAAAAAAAACAAAAAAAAACCTACTGTATTTAATAAACATACATTAAACAAAGATCGCGGTTTGTTGTCAGTGAAAAATTATAATTGAAAAATGGAGGAATACAGTTGACATTATTAATCAATATCTTTTGTTTTTCCAAAGACATGTTAGCATAAAGAATGTCTAGTAATTTTTATAAACCAAGGCATAAAATTACCCTTTTTGGTGCTGGACTTTCTTCTGACATTCTGTAATCTAAAGACATGGAGAGAAAAATTATGAAAAAAATTTTTTGATACATACTTTTGATATATTGTTAGCTATAGCATTAGAATATAGATAGGACAAAAAAAGTGAGTCAGCATGTTTGACTATATACAATTTGTATAATCCTATGGTAAAGTACGAAAGTATGAAATTTAACAAAAACAGCATTTATAAAGGCAGTAATTCACTTAGTTTCGATGTTACTGTACAGTATATTATTATTATGGATTGGATCACAACAATAACATCCAATCACAGTATGAATTCATTTAAGACTGGTGTAACTATAGATACTGCCTATATTTAAATAATAAAATAAACAGTGTATTTATGATGATGAAATCATAGTCATCATAGTATTGAAAGGCATCATTTTATTTAAAACATCATGGTAGTTAACATTAGCCATTACTAATTCTCTAGGCCTAAATGCCTCTGCTTCTCCATAATTAATATTAATAATACAGTTCTAGGCCTAGCCTAGGCCCTGTGGTTTAAACTTTCTCGGATAGAAAAATGTCACTTTTTTACATCATTTTGTGGAGAAAACCAAAGACCCAACTTAAAACCAAAACAACTTTCCAAATTTCATCTCGGTTCAGTCAGTGACAAAACGACCCAATTAGAACAGGCCTAGCTAGCCAAGTGTACGGTGGTGCTAGCTAGATCTACTGTACCTAGGCTAGGCTATAAACTAGGTCTAACCACATCATCATCATAGTCTGGTCCTACAAGCCCATGCTAGGCTAGCTGGTAGCCCTTAGTTTTAGGCATAGATAGGCCCAGCGAGGGCATACTAGGCCTGGCCCTAGCCTATATAGGCCTAGGCTCACTCAAGCCACACTGCTGAGTCTGTGTTTACTGTGTAGTTATATCTTTGCCTTAATTAATTATTAATATTAATAAGATAAAAAATCTACTGAACTATTAATAAAAGCCAAGTACTATATGAAAGGCAATTGTAAATTACGTATTTGATTCAATGTTCATGTATACATGCCTCCTAAATGCTCGAGGCAGTTATGACACAAACAAACTGGGCTCAAGCAGTCGACGTGAGCGGGCAAAATAAATCAAACATGGCGGATAGGGTCTAGCCTAGCCTAACTAAGGCTAGCTATTTTTTATAATAGAATCAAAGTAACATTGTTTTATATAAATAAAAGTACTACAGTCGTGAACTGAAAACTTACTTGTCGAGAAAAAAAGTATCAATCTAGAAAATCGGTCGCTACAGCGACAAATTAAGTTGTAGATTTCCTCCTACTCATTATTTTTTTTCGAAAAACATGGACGCCACCATGTGCATGTTTGAGTGAGGAGATGTTTCCTCCACTAAAGTAGGTGGCGCTCTCTCTCTCTCTCTTTAGGTACCCTGTCTGGAACAGAACATTGGCGATCATGGTTCTCCACTCAAATCTGTCCTCAGCTAACCTTAGAAGGTCATTGTTGTTGCCGTTTTTGGTTAACCATGAGTTTAAACTTCCAATAAAAGTAATTCTTTGTCTACCCCTGCTGCGTCTCCCCTCGATCTTCCCCGTAATAGATAGATATTCCAGACCATTGTGACGGCAGATGTGTCCTAAAAACTGTAGCTGTCTCTGTCTTATACTATAGTTTTGATTAATGATCTCTCTAGATTTGCATCATTCAGTACTGATTCATTGGACTTTTTTTCCGTCCATAAAATTCTCATCATTCTTCTTATAAACCACATCTCTGCTGCCTCTAATTTCCTTTCTGTTTCTTTGTTTAATGTCCAACATTCACATCCGTACAATAAAACTGACCATGCATATGTTTTCAATACTCTTACTTTGGTGGCCATTGTTATATTTCTGTTAGTTAGAATTGGTTTCATTTTCTGAAATGCATCTTTGGCCATCCCTATTCTTTTTCTTATTTCGCTTGTGCATCTACCATCTGATGTTATCATGTAGCCAAGATATTGAAATTTTGTAATTTGTTTGATTTGTTCTCTTTTGCTAAATAGGTTGCATTTTGGGTTGGTTGATTTCTTTGAGATGACCATGCACTCTGTTTTTTTTTCACATTTATAAGAGACAGGCCCATTGCTTCGCTCTCGAAAACAACGATATCTAAAAGACTCTGGAGCTGTTTTTCTGATTCTGCTATTAAAACTGTGTCATCTGCATACCTGAGATTGTTTAGATTTTCTCCATTTACTTTTAATCCTGGAATATCTTCCAAATTCCTTAGGATCTTCGCTGTACAGATTAAAAAGATCAGGTGACATTACACACCCTTGCCTCACTCCTCATTTAATGTTTTTAAATACACTATGTTCCCCTTCCACTCTAACCGCTGCAGTTTGATCCCAATACAGATTTTGGATAACCCTCAGATCTTTACCGTCAATGTCTAGTTTCCCTAGAATTTCAAACAGCATTTTGTGTTTGACTTTGTCGAATGCCTTTGAATAGTCGATGAAACAGAGATACAGGTCCTTTTGTATTTCGATACACCTTTCCATGAGCATTGAGAAGGTAAATATTGCATTACTTGTTCCTTTGCCGGGCACAAAGCCAATTAGGTGGCGCTAATAAACTTTAAATGGTAGAAAGTGCCTACTGTACTGTATACCATTCCAAAACGAAGCCCAATTATTTTGATAAAAGTAAAACAAACATAAAAAGGGTTCTGCGTTCGGGGACCTCAACCCATGATATAGTATTTTTTTTAATTGTTATGCTCTTATAAGTATTATTATTATTAAGTAAGTAATTATCATTCCAGAAATGACTGATGATGAATAGGCATGATTGTAATTCTAATATTTATAGTTTTTTACACAATTTATAGCTCTGCCTGAAAACGTTAACAAGACTAAACACACATAAAAAAAAAAACATTCACGCTTTACACTAAGTTTAACTAAAAATGAATTAGCAGAGGCAACACTTTAAGCTGGGATGCTTTTCAGACGGTCCCTAAACAAAAATACAGAATTTAAATATCAAATATCAATTTAAAAAAGAAAGAATTTAGCTTTTTTTTTATCCTTGATTTACAAATTCGACAACAGATTCGAATTACCATTAGTTAATTTTTAATGGGATATGATCAGATTTTTTTTTTTTTTTAAAGTAAACAATTCCACAAACTAAATGGTACTACATGATTTGTTTCACTCCTAAAAGAGAAATAGGCCTATTTTTCTATTTTCCAAAATCCAATTGCATAAAATCAGGTTTATAACAAACTATTTGATGGGAATGATGCGTTAAAAGTAATTGTTTCTACTACTGTATGACAAAAAACATAATTTTGTGTGATATGGTAATCCTACATGTTATCTTCATTTAATAAAATAAATGAATCTTAAATTTGTTTAGGTACAATTGGGATTTTTGATTTTACAGTGATGCTCTAGTGATGAAATTGCGTAATCATTTTGAAGCTCAAACCCAGCGCATCCAACACAATTTCGTCAATGGGAAAATTTGAAACGCTCCCAGGCCTAATTTGTATCAAGATACAATGTGACACCAGGCCTAAATTTGTATCAAGATACAATAAGGTCACCATCAAATGTTGCTCAACATCAGCACCCGTTACTCATTTTAAGGCCTTAAAAATTGTTGATATGTTGTACAACTGATTTTTCTAAGACACAAAAAAGCATATTTGACGAAAAACTCGGGAACAGATACAGATTTTTGAATATTTTAAAAAAACGGGGTGAAAAGGTGGAAAAAGGTGGTTAGGGCCTACGTCCGTTTTTCCCAGTTTCTAAATATTTCAAAATCTGTATCTCATTTACTGTTTTTCGTCAAATATGCTCAGTTGTATGTTTTTCTTGGTCCAAAGGAGTTTAGCTGTTTTCCCACATTTATGCTGTGACAGATTAATTGTCATGCACAATAGACTATATTAATGATGATTAACAGTGTGGAACCAGTAATTCTGGGAGTCAAAGTTCACCGACAGTGGAGACATATTATGCACGTATTTTTTATGAAAAAGGTGACCTCAAAATGACAAAAATGTTTCCGTACAGGTACTATTTCAGAGGTGGGATGGGAGATGGGTCACAGTATGAACTTTGGTTTGTAGTATTTAGTTACTGTATTCTAGATGTTACACGTTCAGCATCTATAGCACTCCTCCGTGATCATAGTTTGTATATGTTATGTAACGCACTGGCGTATCTAGAAGTCTTGAAATGGGGATGCTAAAGGGGGAAAGGAAGGTGAAGTGGGGGAGAGATGTGTATAAGA